TTACCTTCTCCATAAAACTCTGCATTTGGAAATGGATCCAGTGTCACTTGTTTAGACCTGAAATTTAGTGGTATTTTTTTTCTGGGTTTGTTTTCCTTTGCTCCTTATTGTGGCAAGAAAAATGGTCATTGTTGTTGTTATGTGCCGTCGAGTCATCTCTGACTCATAGAGACCCCTCCTTGGTTTCTGAGGCAGTATCTCTATGAAAGTAGATTGCCCAATCTTCCTTCCAAGGAGTGGCTGGTGAGTTTGAACTGCCAGCCTTCTGGTTAGCAGTCAAGTGTCTTAGGCACTACAACACCAGAGCTCCCAAATGGTCATTGTTGTTTGTTGTTGTTGTTATGTCGAGTTAGACCTGACTCATAGCGACCCCTCCTTGGGTTTCTGAGGCAGTATCACTACAGAAGTAGATTGCCCAACTTTCCTTCTGAGGAGTGGCTAGAGGGTTTGAACTGCCAGCCTTCTGGTTAGCAGTCAAGTGCTTTAGGCACTATGCAAATCACCAGATATCATTAAGCATGTGTGAAAAGTTACCATTTCTTTTGGAGACAGGTGGTGGTGGTTGTTGAAAAAGGGAGAGAAATCTATGCACCACACTTCTAGAAACTGACCACATAACAATACAAAATTTACTTAATTTCATGTAGCACAGTGCTTCAGCATTACACACTCATTACACTGATCTATTTCTCTCCAGCTTCAGTCACCATTTTACACTAAAAAACTGAGGCATAGAGAGGTTGAACAATTTGCCCAGGGTCACACAGCTAAAATGTAGAAGAGCTTAGGTTAGAGCCTGGGTCATGTGGCTCTAGAGCCTGTGCCATTACCAAATATAGAAGAGGTAGGGAGACAGAAATCAAACACCTGAGCCCCCACTCCAAGCTAAAACCATGGAATGGTGTGAGGCGGTGAGGATGAAAGGGAAGAGACCCCAGAGAGAGAGAAGACAGCCAAAAGCAAAGAGGTTATTCTGAGAGGCGGTGGCATGACAGGTGACCCAGTACCTGTTAAGTTATACCTGGAGTGTTAAAGGAGTATAGAAAAGACAGTGCTGCTGGTCTCTTTGGGCACCCTTATAGCAGAGATTGTGACCTGGCACTGTGCCCTGGAGAAGTTCACAGGCTTGCTGGTGGCCACAATGAGGAGGCAAGTTGGCCCCAAGCCAGGGAGGAAGGAGACAGGAATAACATTGGGAGGATTCACAGCATCAGTGAGACCCAAGAGAGCAGCAGGAGAAGGCCCCAACTTACCAGTCTTGCTGCCTTACTAACAGAAGCCCAGAGGAAGACAAGGCCTCGTGGTTTGGTGGCTTTTGAGGAAGTTTGTTGTGAGTTGCCACCCAGTCAGCTCTGACATGGAGACCCCATGAAAAATAGAATGAAATGCTACTTGGTTTTGTGCTTCTTCAGTGTTTTGGGTTATTTTCAGCTACTTGAATTCTCAAAGAACCAACATTGGGAAAGAATCTCAGCTTTGGAATCAGACAGATCTAGTTCCATTTGAGAAATGCCCCCCACCCCCCTAACATTTGTGAATGTCACTGTTCCTTGTTGAGCAAGATAACAAACACCTGGCTCCCTGAAGTGGAGGAACGGGGGATTAAATAAGAAGACAAGATTGTTCAAGGGCTTGGCTCCTTCCTTCACTGTAAACTGCTCTAAACCAAATAAAGAAGTGAAAGTAATGTCTGTTTAACAGCATGGTCCATAAACACTTCTGGAAGAAAAGAGTTGTGTGGCCAAGGGCAAAGGGTGCAGGGCAGACCAAGGCTTTTCCCTGAAAGGGTGGGGACTCTTCTGGCAATTTGCTAATCAACCTTAAGAATAACAAATTAGGCTTAAAAAATTATTCTTCCTTGTAAATTCCCCTGTGTATTAGGAAAAGTCAAATTAGGGTGTGTCTGTGAAGACTTTTTCTCTCAGAAAGCAGCCAAGTTTTCAAAATCATTTTTGGAAATTATTCAAAACCTTAAATTTGATTGTTTTTGTACTAAAACTACATATGCTTCCAACTAACAAGTATTCCTATTAAATTGCTTCTTGTTTTCACCTCTCTCAGCTCAACATGAGATTTTGAATATTCTTAAGAGTCAGAGGTGTTTTTTCCTTTTCTAAAGAAGTTGACAGCTATCTTTGAAACATTCACAAGTGAAAACCTATGAACAGTGATTATACCTGCTGGTGTAGTGCCTAAAGCATTTAACTGCTAACCAAAAAGGTGGCAGTTCAAACCCACCAACCACTCCTCAGAAAGAAGGTTGGGCAATCTACTTGCGTAGTGATACCACCTCGAAAACCCAAGGAGGGTCACTATGAGTCGCATCTGACTCGACAGCAGTGAGTTTGGTTTTGGTGTTTTTGGTAATGTGGTTGTGGGTAGAACTTATACATTATACACCATGCTATTTAAATTATTAATGCAGGAATAGATTACTTCAGGAAGTTTTGTAAGTATATAAAAAGCAGTTGAAATTCTGACATCTGTGTCTATTCTTCCTGTTAAACATATGATTCTAGGAAAACTGCAAACCTGTGACTTGTGAGCATATGTGAGTGTGTAAGGAACAAAAAAAATTCACAAACCAAACTCACTGCCATCAAGTTGATTCAACTCATAGTGATCCCTCCTTGGGTTTCTGAGGTGGTATCTCTACGGAATTAGATTGCCCAGTCTTCTTCCAAGGAGTGGCTGGTGGATTTGAACTGCGAACCTTCTGGTTAGCATCAAATGCCTTAGGCACTATGCCACCAGAGAACCTAGGAAATAGCCAATCCTTCCAGATTTTATGGCTCTGTTCTGTGGTGAACAAAAAAGCCATAGTTGAGAACCAAAAGTCTATTTCTGATCCTTGCTAAGAGATCCTGGGAAAATTATCAAACCCCTGGCTTAGTTAGCCTGAAACTCCTAGTTTTGAACCACTGCTAAAAGATTACCAGCTGTCGTGCAGTGGATTTGAACTTATGGCAACATCATGTGTGTCAGAGTAAACTGTGCTCCACAGGATTTTCAATGGCTGATTTTTGAGAAGTAGATTAGCAAAACTTTTGTCTGAGGCTTCTCTGGGTGGAATTGAAACACCCACCTTCCTGATAAACCAAAACCATCAAAACCAAACCCAGTGTCATCGAGTCAATTCTGAGGCAGTAAATCTTTACAGAAGTAGCTTGACCAGTCTTGCTTCTGCAGAGTGGCTGGTGGGTTTGAACCACCAACCTTCTGGTTAGCAGTCAGATGCTCTTTAACTTTCCTATTCCAAAGGAACTAAATGCACTGCTGTCAAGTTGTTTCCAACTCATAGCGACCCCTCCACGGGTTTCCGAGGCAGTATCTCTACGGAAATAGATTGCCCAGTCTTCCTTCCAAGGAGTGACTGATGGGTTTGAACTGCCAGCCTTCTGGTTAGCAGTCAAATGCCTTAGGCACTGTGCCACTGAAGCTCCCACCTTCCTATTAGGAACCCAGAATGTTAACTGATTGACTACCCAGGGACTCCACTAAGGGATTAAAATTAAGCTTTAAGATTTGGCCTAGTCCCTACCCACCCAACTCCACCCCCTGCCAGGCTGGTTGTTCTTAGTTCTTTTCCCTTCTGGTAATAGTTTGGCAAAAGAAAAAAATTCCAACCCCTGCCACGTACATAAAGGGAGATTTGTGATCATTGACCCAACAGTTACCTGTTAGAACAGGTAACAAGTGAGTAGCAGCTAGAGGTTCGATGCTCCCCAGTGAACTCAGTAGTAACTCTCCTAAGTCACCCTACATGGAAATAAATATCCTGGTGATACTATAAGAAGTCCTAGTGCTGCAGTGGTTAAAGCACTTGAATGCTAATCAAAAGATTGGCAGTTCAAACCCTCCAGCTGATCTGTAGGAGAAAGATGTGGCAGTCTGCTTCCATAAAGATTATAGTTTTGGAAACCCTGTGGGGCAGTTTAAGTACCCCTAGAGGAACCATGTTTAAATTAAGCACTTGGCTGCTAACTGGAAGTTCAGCAGTTCATGTCCAAGCAGTAGGTGACAACTAGGTCTCCTGGCCCATCAGGCAGCCTTTTTCCTGATATAGGGGGAGGATCTCTGGTGGTGTAGTGCCTAAGGCATTTGACTGCTAACCAAAAGGCTGGCAGTTCAAACCCACCAGCCACTCCTTGGAAGGAAGGTTGGGCAATCTAATCCCATAGAGGAACTGCCTCAGAAACCCAAGGAGGTGTTGCTATGAGTTGCAATCTACTCGGCAGCAGTGAGTTTGTTTTTTTGGCCATTGTAGGATGTGTCCTACCATGTACTTGCTCAGGCTAACCCTGTACCAAAAAAGCCCATTATCTCATCACCACTTAAACACTCCTCAAAGTCTACCGCAGCTGTATGAGTATCTGCCCTGTTGCCAATGGCTGCTTATATTTTCATCTTTCAAAATTGTAAGAAAGATAACACTGTGCCCATTTCACAGATGGGAAAGACTCAGAGATGTTCACTGACAAGTTCAAGGTCATCCCACTGGAAAGTGGCCAAGCAGGGACTCACATCCAGGATCTCTGGCTCTGGGACCTGTACTCTCTACATTCCATCCCTTATTGGCAGCTCCTCGTGAAAGCTGTGCAAAGGGTTTTATGGCCCTTCTCCTGGCTGTGTCTAGGGAACAAGCAGGAAGATCTGCAGTTGATGGAATCATTATTGACACTAAAAGTTAACATTCAACCCTAAGCAAGGGCTCTTCCCTGGCAGGAGCTTAATGCTGCGGCCTCAAAGCCAGCACTGGGCACTTGGGCTGGGCAGCATTTATGACTCTGTGACACTAAACGCTCTTGACTTCTTGAAAAGCTGGTTCATTCCTGCTGGGAGGGGCTGACTCTACCCTTATGTAGAATTTCAAGACTGGTAGTGCCCTGCCCTGCTGGAAACACCTCTCTCACACTCTATAAAGGCCTGAAATGGCCTGCAGGGAGGGCTTCCTGGTCCAGATCCTTTACAGGACACAAGATTCTGCCACTCACACCACCATGAGGCTCCCCATCCTCACCAGCTTGCTTTGCATCCTGCTTCTCTGCTTTTCCTTCTTCTCAGCGGAAGGTAGGGCTGATCCCTGGGGTGCTGATTCCTGAACAGAGATCCAATATCTGGGAAGGTTGAAATCAGGGAGTGTAGGATGGTGGGCCTGAGCAGAATAGTCTTTACCTATAGTCCCAGCTCCCTGAAACTCCCACACATCTAAGTAAATGCAGTGGGCTTACCACGTCAACACGCAACCTCACAGCTAGGTGGCTCTCTATAGTAAGCCCTGACTATAGAGAAATTCTGGAGCCACCTCTATGGTTCTTCCATCTTCCTTACAACAGAGTAAGCTTGTGTTGAATTTGTATGAATGGACGAATATATTAATTAACACATTACCTGAATCCAAGCATCCCCAAACCTTGTGCATAGAAGATACCCAGGGCAAATAGGTGGAGAGTTATGTCTCTGTGTGTTTGGACAAGGGGGAGATGGGTCCTCACATCTCACTGGATATCAGTTTTGAGCTCTCTTGCCTTTCTTATTTGGATAGCTAAATCGTTCGATCTTTTTCTCCTGCCTAATCCTCTAGAAACTGCCTATATTTATCTTTTGTTTTAGCAGTTATGGTCATTTTAACCTTCAAAAAGTGACATTCACTGGAGTAGGGAATATAGAAATATATGTCATTGTTATTGCCATTCAGTTGATCCAATTCAAGGCAACTTTAAGTGTGCAGAATAGAACTGCTCCATAGGATTTTCAAGGCTGTCACCTTTAGAAAGCAGATGCCAGGCCTTACTACTGAGGTGCCTCTGGGTGGATTTGAATAACCAGCCTTTCAGTTAGTAGTCCAGCACTTAACCATCTGTACCTTTCAGGGACTCCTATAGAAATATATAAAGAGAAAGAAGCACCCATAATTGCACCATTCAGAAATAACCATGTTCAACTTTTTTGATTACTTTTCAGTATTCCATGCAAGTATTGTTCATTTGAATTGAGATCATGTTACACATTCAATGTTGTACTTTAAAAAAGTTTATTACTGTATCATTTAACCCAAAAAATACTTATGATTGAAGTTATTATGGAAACATTTACACTGCAATGTCAAAAACAGTCATCACTATGTGGTGGTATTAGAGGAAATAATTTGTTTTCTAAACTTTCTGCAATAAACAGATGACACATGAAAAAAGTGATTAGAATTCCTCATAAATACATTCTTCAGAATGCAATTTACCAAACCTCTTATTTTGGACATGTTAGAAGTTGCCTTTGACATAGAGGTGCATCAGTGGTTCCATGATAGAATTCTTGACTTCCATGCAGGAGACACATGTTCAATTCCCAGCCAATGCACCTCATGCACAACCACCATCCTGTCTGTCAGTGGATGCTTGCAGGTTGCTATGATGCCAAGCCAAACAGGTTTCATCAGAGTCTCCAGACTAAGACAATTTTGAAAACAGGTCTGCCAATCTATTCCTGAAAACTAGCCAATGAAAACTTTATAGATAGAAGTGGTCTAATCATGAGAATCATGCAGAATCCAGCAGTGTTTCATTCTGTTGTGCGTGGGGTGGCCATGAGTCAGGGACCAATTCAACACAGATAACAACAGTTGTTGTTGTTGTTGTTGTTGTGTGCCATCCAGTCGGTCCCAACTCATAGCGACCCCTCCTTGGGTTTCCAAGGTGGTATCACTACAGAAGCATATTGCCCAATCTTCCTTCCGAGGTATGGCTGGTGGGAGCTGTGATGGTGTAGTGCCTAAGGCATTTGACCACTAACCAGAAGGCTGGTGGTTCAAACCCACTAGCCACTCCTTGGAAGGAAGATTGGGCAATCTACTTCTGTAGTGATACAGCCTCGGAAATCCAAGTAGGGATCACTATGAGTCGGATCCAACTTGATGGCTGTGAATAACCTTAGTAAAGATGCAATAAAGCCACATTTCTTTACCTATAAAGTTCCTTTTTAGGGCTATTTCTAGAAGATGTTGTGACAATATTTAATATTTTTAGGCGTAACTTGTCACCAAGAGAGTGTGGTGTGATGAATTTGCATGCTTAGACGTTGAGATGGTTCACCACTTTACACTTTATAAATATGTGGTAAGATGCCTACTTGTAAATAAAGTATTTCCAATATTTAAGGTTATTTTCTTTGCTAGATTGCCAAAGGAAGAATTGCTAGGTCAAAGGCCATGAGCATTTAGAGTCAGGGTGCTGAATTGTTTCTGGAAAGAAATGTGAGGGTGTGAGTCATGGTATCTACCAACAATGAATTTGTTACTCCAAAAAGTAAGTCACAACAGGGCCCACTGTTTCCCAGGCCTCCTATAGCCTCACAAACCTGGTTTCCTTGAATAAATATTTGTGAACTCCTGGTTCCCCAAGTTCAGGACATATTAGTCTTGTGTACTGATGCTCAATCAAGCCATTCTGCACAGATCCACCCCACAGTGTCCCTAAGCACTTAGGAGAGCTCTGCTTCTTTGTGTCCTCCCAGGTAGGAGGCATCCCACCAAGCCTGGGAGAGGCAGGCCCTGTTGCTCCTGCTGCCTGGGAGGCAGTATCAGATTACCCAATAAGCAAGGTAAGCACAGACTTATTTGTGTTTACTTACTAATCTATAGTGAAGAATTTCACATTTCTTCATCACATCAAAGATTCTGCTTCTAGGTATGGTTGGCATCTATCTCTCTCCCAATCCCACAGCACATCCTACAGAATCAAAGCCTCTTTTCAAATTTGTAATCCCTGACAGGGGTGGAGTACCCAATAAGCAAGGTAAGCACTGCACCTGCCCAGAGATGCTGCCTGGTCCTAAAGAGCCTGAGAGGTAAGCACCTGCCCTTCACCATGTGTGGGCCCTGCTTGTGCCTACATTGGGCCCTGGCACAAGACAGTCAGGGAGCAGGCCTCAAGCTCACAGTCTAGGGGAGGAAACTGACACCTCCCCAATAGGCAATAAATTAATAATTTGGGACTGAAAACGTTCTGTCTAAGAAAAGAATGTCAGCAAGGGCCTCTCAGAGGAAGTGATGTGCTGACATGCTGTCAGGTTAAGGATGACCAAGGCAGCCTGAAGAGCATGGAGAGTGAGGGGCCCAGGCAAAGATGGTGCTAGACTGAAGACGAGGAGTGGCAGAGGCACAGGGAAAGCAGGGGAGGCTGGGAACAGAGGGTGTGAAAAAGGCGAGTGGCAGGAGTGGGTGGTCTCCAGGTGCTGACAGGAGCTACAACCAAGGCTAAAGGCAAGCAAATTGGTAGAACCAGTGTTGAGACCAGAGACCACCTGACCTCATGGGCTTAGACAGGAGGTAGCATCACTAGGGGTGGGAGGAGCACACAGGTCCAAGAGAGCCACAGCCTCAGGGAGAATGTAACATCCAGACATGCAGGCAGGCAGGCTAGGGGAACCAGTCCCAGGCCCTAGACTCCATGATCAAGTGATGCCTGGAAGCAAGGCTGGGCCTCTCCCACAAGGCCTGGGAAGCACAAGCATGAGGGAGACAGGCCCAAGCAGGCTGCAACTCCCAGGGTTGGGACCCCAGGTCCAGGCAGTCTGGCACATTGTGGTCACCTGGTGTGGTGTGAGATCAGGGCTGCTGGACCTCAACTGGCCCTTGCCTGGAGGGGCCTAGAACACAGGGCAGGCAGAGCCAACAGGAAGGCTGCAGAGGCTTGGAGCCAGACAGGCTTGACACAAACCTCGGGCTCTGGCCATCAACACTCTGGGACCCCAACATCCCCTCTCAGTGGGTCGGAGAAGACCCTGGCACTGCTTGCTCCTCTGGGGCCCTGGACTAAAGAACCCATGACTGCCCTTCAGCTACCAAAGAGTCCTATCCACCTAAGGTGAGCATGGGGTGAGAACAAGAGGGAAAGAAGATCAAGATATAAGATAGCTTCAGCCTCAGGCCACCCCTCCCAAAGCTGACAGCCCCTCCTTCCAAACTGGCATCACACCTAGCTGGGGCAGGGCAAAAATAACTGGCTCTCCCACACTTCACTGAACCGGAGTGTGAAGCATCCACCCAAGCAGGTGGAGGGGAAGTGGCAGGCTGACTGTAACTCTGCTCACCCCACAGGCCCAACCTGGTAGAAAAACACTTCTGTGAAATAATTTGCCAATCTAGGGAAGGGAGAAGAGTGCAGCCTTCCTCACTGAGGTTGGCAGCTCAACCCCCTAACCCAGCCCTGGGATGTACTTATACAAAGGCAGTGAAGAAAAGAGAAGTTGAGGGTATATACACACATACACACACACTCACATGTATGCACACATGTACCCATACACACTCATACACACATAGCATACTTGTACACATACATATGTATATAAGCTTACATACACACACACATAAAACCCATACACAGTCATTCACACACACATATACATACTCATACACACACAGTAAGTTTATAGGAAACAGCCAGATGAATATCTTGTACAAAGTACAAGGCAGTTGTTTTTTCAGTCACACAATGCTTTGGGAGATAATCTGAGCATGTAGCTTCCATGCTGAGATGAAATATCCTTTAGTATACATTTAAAAAAAAAAAAAAGTCCATTATGAAAATTTGCAAATAACTTTGTGAGAACAAGATGAGTGAAATAAATTCATATTTTGGGGACCCTTATCTTGTGATTTTATTGAGTTCTTTGGAATCACCCTAGGTAGGTACATTGCTATTTTAGTTTGGGAAACTGAGCCTCAAAAAGAGGCAGAATCAGGAAACTGGATCTGCCCACCTCTTTCCACTTCAACAAATTGCCTCTTTGAATGAAGTTTTCCTGTGGCATGTGGATTGAGCCTGGCACATGCCTGGAGGGGGATGTGGTTGTCAGACTTCCCACAAGGAAGTGGGAATCCCAACTCTACCACTACTAACTGTGTGTCCCTGAGTAGGTCATCCAGTGTTACTAAGCCTCAGTACCTTCATCTGTGAAAAGGGTATAACAACACCTGAAGTGTCAGTGGGGTGATGACTATTAAGTATTCCACATAGTACTGCCAAAGTACCACCAGTTGTCATCAAGTCAGCTCTGACTCATGGCAACCCCACATATGTTTCAGAACAGAACTGGGCACCATAGAGTTTTCAATGACTTGTTTTTTGGAAGTGCACCACCAGGCCTTTCTTCTAAGGTACCTCTGGATGGACTCGAACTGTCAACAGTTTGGTTAACAGCCAAGCACATTAACCATTTGAACCATGCACAGACTCTTGGAACAGAGGACCCCATAAACAGGACCTAATGTGGCTATGGAGGAAGACCCAGCTCTGTCATGTCCTGGTTGCCTTCCTTCCATGGTCCCTTAGGCCATCAGTG